TTTTTTTAAAAACGTACTAAACAATTTTTTTAAAAAGCTAAAAATGAAAGTCAATGGGTAGGCTGGCCCAAGGGCAATTCCTAGTAATGCTCATATGCCAAAGTCAGGGACTATCTGCGTCCTGCATGTGAGGTTTCCACGTTTGGCCTTCAATGGAAGGGAACTTTGGGGCAGTTTATTACCTGATAGGGCTCTTTGAGCCAGACTTCAGAACTCTCACCACTGGGTGTATTTCCTCATTTCCTGATGAGACTGAAAGGGCAGTATGACTAAGTTGTCAATGACTGTTAACATGGATGTGATTGGAAAAACTTAGAACTTACCAAGCAGGTTGGTCAATTTGCCATGCTACTACGGGGTATAAAATGAGCCACCTCCGAGGACAGAAAGGGGGATCTTACTGAAATCAAGAAAAAAAGTCATGAGACTGGAAAAATTAAAATTGATTTCATTCTACTGTTAAAACGGCTATTATACTAATTTGCTACAAAACATTTGGATATATTAAATCAAAAGAAAGGATGTCAATTGGTATTCTACCAATATTGATCTGAGTGAGACAACAGGTGTATTTTTCAGACTTTTGTCCAGCCATCCACTTCCTCTGACTAAATAGATGGGCAGCATGGAGGCGAAATCTAAAGGATGTACATGGTACATTCATTTGTATAACGGTAAAAATGTAGAAATTAAATAATTAAAAGGTAAAAATTAAATCAAGAAGTTGGTTTGGGGAAAAAAGAAAAGAAGAAGAGTCAGGAGTGAAGTGCACTGTCTTTTAGACCAAGATCCTTGTGCGCTCAGCCTCTGGGATGAGAGCGCGAACAAGTGCGAGCGGGGACAGCAGACGTGCAGCAGAGCCAGAGCCCCATGGAGGGAAGAAAGCGGGATGCCTTCACAGGAGGCTTCCTGGTGGAGGGGTGCCTCTAACCACTAACTGGGGAGCTGACTCACAGAACTGCAGCTGAGGTCCTTTGGGAAGAACTTATGATGGCGTTGAATATCAGCTGGAACACAGCCCAAGTTTCACAGAGGCCAGGCCAAGGTGCCCCAGTCGGAGAGACGAACCTGGGGGCAGGTTGGGGAGAGGCTTCCTGACTGGAAGAAGGGTCTTCTGAACATTTCTGATCCTGAAATGTCACCTGTTAGATTCCCTGATGATTAACCCCGTAATTCCGAGTGATATTTCTGAAATGTGGCCATTTCCATATATTACTGAAGCCAGCACAGGAGTGTGCCCTGGGAGGGTGGGAGGGTCGGTGTCAGCGTTGGAAGTCCATACGTCTGTCTTTGGCTGCCCAGCAATTGGCCTCGGGCTGATGAATTTGATGCTCCTCCCTCCGTGAGGTCAGTGGCAGCCAGACACCACTGCTGCACCGCTCCATCCTCCCAGGAAGGTATCAGATTCCTTGGGAACAATGGGAGGCAAAGGCTGAAAGATCACCGAGTCCTCTCACTCAGTACTGAAATGACTCACCGAGGCACTGACCCTCAGACAGACTCCTCAGGAGGGAGGTGGAGACTGCCAGACAGAAGTGGCTTGAGTGCGGGAATTGGCGTTTCCAAGTGGTGCTTGTGGGGTTTGAGGAGAGGTAGTGTTGCTGGGTGTTCAGAGCCCTGTGCACTGCCCAGCATCGACCTCATCGGCGTGAGAGGCTCAGGTGGATCAGCAGGGATTCCCTTTTAGATGGCTGCAAACCCAACAGTTAGATCCTCCCTGCTTAGGGGGCTAAGAGTAAGAGGGGAGAAGCACCTCACAAGGATTCCAGGCCAGGACAACACAGCTGCCTAAGCCAGTATCTTGGTCTACCATTCTCCCAGCAGAGTTAGAAGGGGCACCAGGGGTCAGGGCAGTCTGGGTTCACCCAAATTATACACAGTGTAAGGATGGAGAAGCCACAGATTGCAAGCAGGAATTCAATTTAGGGCTTGTGGGGGGGGAGACAGGTGGACAGCTTGATTACCAAACAACAACAAATACCTATTACCGTTTCCGTTTAGAGGAAATGTACCCTGAATCTTGGAAAGATTTGTATGTATGCTCTGAGGGCAGTAGCTGATGCAAACAATGGTGCTTCTCTCGTACAGCTTGAACGTTTATTTCTGAGCCTTCAGCGTAATCTAAGAACCAAATTAAATGAGAAAACACCTAATACAACATAAAAGGCTTGTCCTAAAGTCGTATGCCTCCACATGGAAACCTGCATCGTGTTGCCATTCGGTGCCGTCCCGGCAATGTCCACTCACCGCGATCCCACTGACAGCGTCTAACTGCACCAGGCGGTGCCGATGTTCATAGACATCTCAACTCGATGGACAGCCTGCTCTTCTGGAACTAAACACTGTTAGTGAGATCACAAGGAGACCTCCACCCATTTGCTGTCGTCTCTCCTTTTAATTTTCGATCCCCAGGAATCCCTAAACTACATACGAACAGCCCTGCGTTCTTACAACATCGTAAACTCCATTTCAGAGCTCTGAAATGATCCTTTAGTTGATTTCCCTTTTCTGGTAACTTCAAAGTTTCAGTACCTCCCCTTTCTTTCATGCCTTCTCTCTTCTAAGTGAAAGCTGATGCTGGTGGGTCTTAACCTATGGCTTGCCAATGCTGTTATACATTCATGCCACAAAATACCGACCAGGTATTCACACCCAAGCCAGTGAGTTACGTGAGAGGGTAAATAGACCCCAGTGATCATGGCCCTGCCAAACGTGTAGCCACAGGCAGATAGATGGCTCCACTTCTTGGGACGTTTCTCTACAATGATCTGGTTCTTTTGGTTACAAAACTCCACATCTGCCCTCCTGTGCAGGAGTTTTCAACAAAATAGGAATGCTAAGAAGAAAACCTGTTGAAAACTTGACCAAGGACATGCTCTAACGGTACAGGAGGGGGCTTTAAAAGTTTGTGGGAAAATCCCATCATCTTGAATTCCACACATTTTTTGAAATCCTCCTAGTATTTATGATGGTTTATATAAGAACATGGAGGGAAGGAAGATTGAAAACACTACATACACAAAACTAAATGTAAATATCAACTAACGGAGTTCTAGGGCTTATTTATCCCTCAGGTATATTTTGAGTTTACAGAAATTTATGTTTAAGGTTGCTGTCAGTTAAGGAACCATTTGCCTCCATATGTGTTGTCAGTGTACTCTAAGTTCTTGGTTAAGAAATGCCATTTCCCTCTTAGGACATTTCCTCGACCTCTATATTCAGTGCTCAGACCTGGCTCCATCTCCAGTGCTCTCGCCAGGAGCCGGAGGAGTTGCATTTCCTCTTACAGACCCACGAGGATCCCACATGCACTCAGTTGCACAAGGCACCAATGACCTCTCTACGAGAGGCTAAACGCCACAGTACTTTGCAGCTGTGTTTCTCGGCTTGAGAAATGTCTAAGGCAAATGCCTTTCAATTCTTTAAGATTAAGTCACTGTAAATATTTTTATTCCCTCTGGGGTATGGTTCTGTGTAACAATAACTCTATGAACATTTTCTTAAGAAATTGGCTCTACAGTCTATCCATGACAGGAGGTAGCTGAAAAACCTGACGCTTGCTGCAGACAGAGAGAGCTGCACAGCGCTGGGGCCAGGAGTCCTTCCTGGGCACTTCCCCGGCCGCCAGTCCTGCAATATCCTTCTTTGAGGCTACTTAAACTGCCTTCACTCTAGAACAGGGCAAAAACAAAAAGGCAAAAAAAGTGTTGTGAGTATTTCATAAATTGACAAGTACCACACAACAGTGATAGCAGTATCTACCAGTCTATCATAAAATCTATACCTTAGCTTATGATACATAAGACAACTCTACCCAGAGGGCCTCGCCCCCACAGTTGTTACCCCCTCTAACCATCACACTCCGTGTTTCCCACTAACTTCTACACCCACCCATACACAACCCACATGCGGACGGGGAGACACCATCACAGCCGTAAGCCGAGAGAAAATTCCTGTTTTCCTCTAAACACAAATTTGAAGATTCGAATGGAAGTTCACCTCCCTCTGTCCTGGAAGGAGCCCGGTGCTGTAGAGGGTCAGCTAACTGCAAGGTCTGCAGCTTGAACCCATCAGCCACTCCACTGGAGGAAGAGGAGGCCTCCCGTTCCTGTAGACTGACAGCTTTGGAAACCCAAAGGAGTAGTCCTGAAGGATTGCTGGGAGTCAGAACGAGCCCGATGAGAATCCAGTTCTTTCTGCTGCCCCCCCATATCCTCCATGGAATGAGAGGATACAAAAAGAGTGTTTGAAATGTGCTCACTTCGCAGACACTTGGGACTCTCCCGCCCAAGGGTGAAGCGATAGGCCAGTGGGGTTGAGGTGCACGTTGTCTCCCCCTGAAATTTTACCCTCATTTTTGTTTCCTCGTGGCAGGCTGCTCTGGGCATCAGAGGCTGCCTGGCGGTAGCAGTAATTCAGACTTGCCCTTCACTTCTTTCAGGTTACCTTTGCCTTTGAGATCAAACCTCCAGCTCCATGGCCTGAACTCACACAGACCGTTCCAGACCTAGAGCTCTCACGGCCACTCTGCTGAGTTTTTAAGAAAAGGACCCAGCAAATTTCAAAGCTATTTACCAGAGCAGGCCAGAGGCGGGCTTACCACAGTATGCCAAGCACAAGTGCCACCCACTTCCTTCCTACCACCCATCCCCTACCTCCACACAAGCAGCAGCCCTGAGCCAGGGCTCCGTCCCCAAACGCTCCCAGATGGGCTTCTCGTGAGCCTTCCACTTTCCACCCTCTGTTTTCCTTGTTTAAAAGTGTGTTCGAGGATACTCACTTGAAATCAGAATAGAATACGAAACATGGATAACAAAGAGAACCAAGAGTCAAACTCCCTCTTTGAGATTTTCTGGACGGCGTATTTGCACAAACAATGCTGGCGCTTGGGAAAAAGCTGTTCGACAACATACTCAGAATGCATGCTGTATTTGCTTTCCCAGGTCCCTCCCCACCCTGAGCCACACTGCCTTGCTTGGGCCAGTGAGGCGGACGCGTTGGGGAAGAAGTCCGTGCTAGTGTTCGCCTTACCTCACAGAACATGTAGAGGGACAGCAAGGTGAGCCCAAGGTTATACAGCACTAAAATCCCCCGGAAGGAGAAGGCCTGCCTGTTCTTCATGTATTTGGGTCCCAGCCAGACTACTAACAAGTAGACGATGGAGCAGATCAAGGTCGGGATGTAGTTGTCCAGAAGAAACCATCCTTTCACTCTGTTATCTGGAAAATAAAGGCGTAAGTAAAATTAGTGAGAAGTAAGGCGGGTATGAACTGTGATTTTACAACTAACAAAGCTGCCACGGAGTCGATTCTGACTCCTAAGCGTCCATCTGATAGTTAGGTTCCCACACCCAAAAGGAAGCATGGCTGGTTGACAGCGATCATGTGTGTCATAGAAGGGGCACCGCTGAACCTCCCTGTGAGGTTCAATCTACATTATTCAAGGGCTCTTGCTAAGTGAAATTATAGTAACGAACAGTAATAGTGCCTTCCAGGGAATTTTAAAGAAACCAAAACATTTAGCTTTGGCTAAAAGTTCCTGTAAGTGGATGTATGAATCAGATCTGTTGAATGATGCACGGTGAGATGAAACCCAAGGCGTGGCAGCCTTTGACTCTGGAGTTCTTCTGTCTCGGGTGGCCGAGGGTCAGCAGCCTGCCCAGCACGGGGCAGACTCGGAGGAAGCCTGCCATCTAGCCAGATGAATGACACTGCTAGTGACAAAACAGGGGCAGGTGCTGTCAGTGGAATGGCTACCAACGGAGGGAGCCATCATTTTGTAAATCGTGAAGGTGCAGGAGCAATGACCAGGGGAAACAGCAGTCTCAGCAGAAGCTGCCAGCCCTCCCTCCCTCTCTCCCCCTGCCAACCAGGGCACCACCGGACAGGACAGCCAGCTCCGCGAGGCATTGCTCCTCTTGCAGGACACAGCCGTGTCTTCTGGCTGACCCTGGGAAGCGACCTCTGCTACATGCTGCCCCTTTGCAGCCTGCTGGGATACTCCCCAAATGCCTGCAGTTCTGCAATCTTACCTTTCCTCGAAGCCCCCCAACTCTGGAGCTCAGAGGGGCATGAAGGCTCACCAGCGCATCTCTGAGACCCGGCAGCTCTTTGGAGTAGTCCTGACCAATTTTTGAGGCCCTGGGTGTACCCACTTGCAATTCTACTCATATATTCCCCTTGTAATCCTAGGACAACCTCACTGTCTCGGAGTCGATTCCAACTCACAGGGAAACCACAGGACAGAGTCACAGCTGTGTCACAGGGGAAGGTTCTGAGGGTAAAAACCGTTAGGGAAGCAGACTGCTTCATCTCTCACAGAGCAGCTGAGGAGTGTGGAGAGCTGATCGTTCAGTTGGCACCCCAACACTTAACCCACTGTGCCACCAGGCCTCCTTCTCCTAGGATAAGCACAGGTTAAATAAGGCGTCCGTCTCCTTGGGGAGCTCTCCACGGGTCCCCTCACGCCTTCCTTCCAGGGGCTCCGCAGGGTGAAGCCCTCCAGTCTTTGCCCACGGTGTACTCTTGGCTGGGGCGGGGCGTCCTGTCAGTTCTGCTGAGCTGCTGTTTCTCAGAAGGCTTCAGGGAAGTGTTTGACCCCAGTGAACCTCCTAAGGGAGATTGTTAGGGCCTTTGTTCTCAGCTCCTGGCAGAGTTGCCAATTCTGTGAAAAGCAAGTTCTCACTCAGCTCCCTAAACTGTTAGCGCATTTAGTTCAGTGTGCACACCTATTACAGGCAAATGTTCCCGATAAACGCACATACTTCCCATTTCCTGTACTTCCAGGCTTTCGTTTGGACCTTGCTTTTCCCTTTCTTATTAACAGACCCTCGTCTTTGCCCATCCATAAGTACTGTCCTCCTTCAACTCTGCTGTGTGCTTCCAGGGTCCTGGCCCTGCGCCCCCAGAGGGTGATCTTCACGGAGCTAGTCAGTTATGGAGATCCTAACCCCTCTGTCAGAACACAGGCGAGTCAAACCATTCTGCCCCCCTGAGCTTTACAAGACGAAGGGCTTTGGGGAAGCGTTCCTCTGCTCTAAAAATGATGCAAACAAACAGATTTCTTCCTCCTGTGGATGGGCTAGAGGAGCCCTGGGAGCGTAGTGGGTTATGGGTTTGTCTGCTACCTGAAAAGTCAAACCCAGAGCAGCTGTGGGAGAAAGACGAGGTAGTCTTCCTCCGTGAAGAAGTCCAGCCTCAGAAGCCCTAGGGAGTTGCTCTCCGCTGCCCCTCAGGGCACCAGTGTCGCAGTAGACGCTGGTGGTGGCGGATGGACGTGCTGCCCTAGTGGCTCGTTGTCTTGTAACCGTGAAGATGGAAGAACCTATTCTAAGGTTAAAGGTACTGAGGGTGGTCCGGGAAAAAAACGACAAGAATGGCGTCCTTGTTGATATGTTAAGCGTTCCTGAAATACTCAAGAGTTGCCCAACCTGATAATGTAAGCTAATGATTTTTACTAATGTTTCAACCAATTAAGCGTTGGATCGCTTAACAGATTAAAGTTGGGCTACCTGGCCCTTACAGTTGTATCACTGGGCATCATTAGGATACAAGCACTCACACACACAGATCTGCCTCGTTCTTTTCAATGGTCAGACACTGATTTGTTATTTAACCTGTCCCCTACTGATGGGCAGCTAGATTTTTTCCAGCCTTGGCAAACCCTACTATAACAGGCATCCTTAAACCGATCTTTGCATGATCCAGCTTAGCTCTAGGAACGGAGTCTTAGGCAGAGAAGAGCTGGAGCAGAGAGCTGGGCCCTCCAGAGCTTATGCCATTTAGACTCTTCCCCCGCTTTGAGCGATCAAAGATGCTGTCAAGTAGATTTTTTAAATCACCGCCACACTGCCAGATGAAGTGAAGCTGAGCACACGTCCTCTCCCATTTGTAGGGCCTTTCTGTAAACCCCAAACTTGTTCTTCATATAGATCAACTTTACAAGAGGGCAATATGGAGTGGACTTACTGTTCTAAAAGACAACCGATTAAGAGACATATACAAAGTAAGTTCTAGTTGTACGTGTACATTAAAAAAATCATTGTAAAACAATACGATAAAAGGGGAAGAGTTTTTAACACCTATTGCACTTTGGAAATACAGTTTCCATTAGAGACTAGCTGAAGCCCTTGGATGATGGTGAAGCCTGCGCTAGTGGCAGGCTGAGAGCTTGCAGCACCGCATGGCATCAGGGTAACGTAGGGGAGGGGCCACACGAGCTGCGTGTCTGGTCCACAGCCCGGGTCCTGTACCATGTCTGTAATTGCCAGAGACCTCCATGCTCTTGGTGGTTGGGATGATGCTAGCATTTCCAAGAATTCCTTCATGCACTATTTATAAGCGGCTATAAAAAGGGGAGAAGAAAGGTACACAAAACCAAAATCCACCTTACCTCGGGGGCCAAGCAATGCCCTGAAATAGGTACTTAGTGATGCATCAAAATGTTCCATTTTAAAAACCTATTAAGAAAAAAAGACATTGATTAGTCTCTCCTCAAAATGTGGTTTTATCTTGTTTTTATGTATACACAGTACTTTTCCTACAAAAGACAAGAACACACTCCTTTCAAAGACTGCATGCTATCAGACAAGGTCAAATTCCTCTTGCTTCAAAAAAAGTAAAAAATGTCACACTTTGAAACTCAAGAAAGTAACCTGCTTGCTACCAGAAGCAAAGAGAGAATTAGAAGAAGAGGACATTAAAGCAAAGGCAAATGCACAAGCTTGTGAACTCACTTCACAAGTAGGTGCCAGAGTGCTTTCTGTGAAGCCTAAATCTCAGTGGGGCAAAGGCGGGGCTGTACAGAAAGATGGCAGAGGGAGAGGGTGCTGTCTGTCTGCAGGTGGCACCATCAGTGGACAGAATGCTGCGACAAAAAATGGTTTTCCTTGGCTTGCTGCTTTTCACATTTACTTAAAATGTTTCATGATCACCAGATAAAGATTCAAATATATCCTTTTAAATGGTCAAATCTTATCATTCTCCTCCAACCACAATCACTGTGGTCAGAAGGCACCTAATGCAGCAAACTGTGGACACAGCTCCAGAGATTTTTTTCTCCCTCCTTTGAGCACAAACAGGAGTGATGAGAGCAATGATACCATCATGAACTTCAACCCTTTGGCGGAGCTTCAAGTCAATGTCATGTTACAAAATAAACAAGCTGATCATCATAATCAATAAGCATATTGTTTTTTCAATTAGTGAGAACTTTCCCCCCATAAAACTCCTTTACTTAGATTATATTTATAAGTACAATATACTTGGTTAGAATACAAAATGTATTTTTACTGGGAGAGGGAGAGGGTCACAGTAAAAAAAAAAAAATCCTAGAAAACTGCTGGGATATAAAAGTGTATATATGGCTTGTTTTCATTTAATAAAACACCTTGGAGAAAGTTTCAAATTAGTAGTTACATATTTGCCTCAATCTTCTAAGATTCTATAGTCCTCTAAACCAAATCAAAACTCACTGCCACAGAGTCGTTGTCGACTCATAGCCCGCAACAGAGCAGGACAGAGGGTCCCTGAGAATTTCTGAGACTGTTTCCGAGAGTAGAGAGCCGTCTTTCTCCCGAGGCAGATGCAGCTCTAAGGAACCAACTGTGCCAGCAACCAGTCTACCATCTTTGCCCCTCAGTCCTCACTCTCAACAAGTAAGCAGCTTCCTCCCACTCTGTATTCCAACGACCACTCTCGCGCTGAGCCATTTTTCTCCCTCAAACGAAACCTCAGGGGATGCGAATTCTAGAAAATACTGAAGCGGAAGAGCCGGGGCTTAGCTTTGCATTTCCTAAACAGAAATCCTCTGACAATGCGCCGGAGATAATTAAGTCTCGTTTACCCAAAAAAGGCTATGAGAAATCCTGATAAAAAATAATTTGACTATTTTTCTAGCATCTCCTTTAAAACATCTAGAAAAGTACAAATGCTAGAAAGTGATCATGTTTTTGTGAGCCCTGGTTCACATGAACACAATTTAATATCATCTGGGATGAGTGGTCAAGGGTCCTGGGTGGGTACAGGGTAGGCCGATAGACCAGAGAAAGAAGGGCTTTCTTTTCGAGTAAAGAGTCTCAGAAACTCACAGGGCCAGTTCTTCTGTCCGACGGGGCAGCTAAGATTGGAATCAACTGGGTTTTTTGAGTGTGTGAGATCTCAAACAGCCCATCAAAGTTGTTCTAGTTTTTATGACGCTGCTATATTTTGGATTGAGGGCTTTCTGTGTTTTATTCTGTTGTTGAAATTCCTTTAAAAATGATTTTCTTTATATGAAACTCATGATCGATAAATCTAAAGAAACAGGTACTAGATCAGTAATTTCCTAGGGCTATGAGATGGGAAGTTGGGGGAAATGGGAGCTAATAATAATGGATGGAAGAATGAAGAAATAGTTCTAAGATGGCTTATGGTGAATGCACAACTCTCTTTAATATAACTAAGCCACTGAATTGTATACACATGAATTATATGTCAAGAAAACTGTTATTTAAAAAAAAACACTGGGGACCTGTATTTTAGAAAGATTTTTTTACCAACAAAGGTTAACAAGTGACCAAGTAAAGGTTTAATTTTTTTTTTTTTAAGGAAGTATGGCCATGGCTGTAGCGGGAAAGAGCCCAAGAACACTGTGATTCTTGGACTCAAGTACTATTGGGTAAGTTGTCTACTGGGGATAGATTTACCTTCCTCGAAGACATTTCAAACTCACTGGGGGTGTATCCCTTACTCAGACTCGCAATGTACATGATATACCAGCAGCTCTGGTGGGGTCATGTGATGTGTGGGGCTGCTAACCACAAGATCAGCAAGCGGACTGAAACCATTCGCTGCTCTGTGGAAGATGGGGCTTCCTACTCCCACAAACAGTTCCAGTTTCCAAAACCCACAGGGGTAGCTCTACTCTGTCCTAGAGGGGTCACTGTGAGTGAGCACCGACCTGGAAGCGAGAGCGAGACATGTGGCAAAACATTTAAACGATCCGTGCTTTCGTTTCTTAGCTACAAAATGAAGAAACTGTAATTGCTCTAAGGCGGTGAAGATCACACTCATGAAACTTCCAGGACCATGCCTGGCTGGTAGTGAACCCTCAATAAATGTTCCCCACTGTGTTACCTGTCTTGTCAGTTTCCACCACTTGTCAGGGTGTCGTCCTATGGTGGCTTGTGTGTTGCTGTGATGCTGAAAGCACTGTCACTGGTATTTCAAATACCAGCAGTGCCACCCAAACTGACCAGGGTTCAGCAGAGCTTCCAGATTAAGAACAGACGTCAAAGGAGGATGTGCACTTCAGGGGGATTAGCCACTGAAAACCCTATGGACAGCATGGAAACGCTGTCAGATACTAAAAGCATCGTGAATCGAAGCAGAACGTTGTCAGAGAGCCTGGCAGAAGATGAGGCCAGAAGGCCAGAAGGCGCTGAGACCACGGCTGAGGAAGACCTGCTTCTCAAAGGAGAGCCGACCTAAGGATGCAGATGGAGAGCCAACCTGTGGCAGCCAAGTCTTTGGGAACTTTCATTTGGTGATGGGGCATGGCTCAAAATGAGAAGAAACCACTGCAAAAGATTACTAATATAATCAGAACTTGGAATATAGGAAATATGAGTCTAGGAAAATGTCAAGTCTTCAAAAATGAAAAGAACCCATAAAGATTGATCTTCTAGGGATAGTGGGCTGAAAAGAACTGGTTTGGGCCATTCTGAATTAGAAAATCAGATGGTTCACTATGCTGAGAACGCACAATCAAGAGGAAAGGCTCTGCATTCATCATCAAAAAGGGCAGTTCAAGGTCTCCCTTGACGTACAATGCTGTCTGTGATAGGATTATATCTATCTGCCTTCAAGGAGATCCAATCAATACAGCTATCCTTCAAATGCATGCACCAACCACTAGAGCTAATAATGCAGACATTGGAGAATTCTACCAGTGTTGTCAGTTTGAAATGGATAATGTCTGCAATCAAGACGCACTGATGCTTATTGGTGGTTGGAATGCAAACGTTAGACACAACACAAAAGGCAACTCGCTATGTGGACTTCTCCAGCTGGAACACCCAGAAATCAAACTGACTCCGCGTGAGGGAAAAGACAGGGGCCCTGGTGGTGTAGTGGTTACCTGCGGGGCTAACTGCAATGGGCAGCAGATCTAAACCACCAGCCACTCCTTGAGAGGAAGACGAGGCTTTCTACTCCCATAAAGCATCACAGTCTGGGGAACCCACGGGGACAGTTCTACCCTGTCCTATAGGGGGACCACGCGTCAGCACTGAATGTTGTGAGGGTGGGAAAAGATGATGAAGTACAGGATCAGCAGCAACATCACATTACCTAAACATGAAAGACAAGGGAGAAATACAGTACACAGTATCAAGTATCAGTGATGCCAAAAGGGGATCGCTGCAAATGAACTTGGTGACGCCAGGGCCACAGCGGAGAAGGGGTCATATGCAGTAAACCAGGAAAGCACAGAATAAGCACAAGCTAAAGCACAGAAACCACACCCACGCCAAACCCCGTTTGCACACTGCTCAGGTGTTGGAAGCATGCATGTGAAAAGCAAGACGCCGCTACACACGTCCCCCCACGCTATGAAACAAGTCCAGTAACACAGCTCTGGGGTCTATCCCTCAGGAAAATAGCTGCCGCAAAGTCAAAAGAGAACCACTCTAGTTTTTAAATAGGAGGTCTTTCAGAGGGCTGTAACCAGTTTGGGTTTTTATCTAAGGAGGATATGGGTAAGCTGGAAACAAGAGAAGAGGAAATGATTTAAATGATAGAAAACAGACCTGGTTGTGGGGGGAGGGGGACGGGAACATGCGGCCCAGGAATTGTGGTAAATGACCTCTGACTACAAGGATGACAATGTCTAGGACACAGAGTTTAACTGGAGGATCTAGGCTGAACAGTCCAGAGACAGCAAAGCAGCCTGATTAGGTATAAGGTGAAAGGTGTCAGTCGCAGAGTACTGAGCCCCCCAGTGGCAGGCCACCAAGAGAGCTGGTGGGGTTTTCGGTTTGGGAACGTGGAGGAATCCTGTTACAAACCATCTGTCCTGGGTGTTCAGGAATCTAAGCCCCTCTAACAAGAGCCCCCCCACCCCTTCCCTCCCAAGCTAAAAGGCGTAGGAGCGCGCCTCACGCTTGGTAAAAAGAGCGAGTGTCTTTTTTTCCTTCTCACAAAAGCCTGGGTAAAAGGTGATTTTGCCCTTAGACAGCACGGCCTCTCAGCTTGAGAATTCTTATCTTAGGTTTGCTGAACTTGCCACAAGCAAACGCTGGGACAGAAGTAGTAACTATCAAAGCATTCTCTAAAAAGAACAGATGTGGAAACTGGGCTACAAACTAGTTCATTCCGGCTCAATCCCTGCTGAGAAGTTGTCTTTAGTCTCCACCAGAATCCCCCGATGAACAGGCTCCCAAAATGATGCCTACAGATCCCTGTGCGATTCTCCTGCACC